ATTGGTGTGTATTAATTTTCATTATTACTAATATCCATAACCACACACAAACTGCGCACCTTAATATTTGTCAATCTTTAAACACAGTTCTTACACGAAGCCGGAATCCTCTTTAATAATTAAATATTTGATAATGTATATAAGAGTTCTTTAATATTATAATATTTAAATTGTATTGCTGTTATATGTATGTAAGATTATTTATTTATATATTAATACAATTGAGTATGACAAAATAGTTATCAGTCAGGTTTATATCGTGATAATAATGATGCATGTAACATCTTTGAGTTGAGTGCATTCATTTTGTACATGTACAATCTCATTTATTAATGGAACAGTATTTAAGAAATGCATTTTATTTTATTGTTAATTCAATTAACCATTTGTGTTACAAATTTTTGTATCATACCGATTCATTTGAAACTTTGTACTCGGGGATTTTTCGGGTTGCTGATTATAAATTAAAAATAATTTTAAAATTCTAAATGACCGATCCAGTCAGCAGTCCAGGAGCAATAATACAAATAATTTTAATAAATCATTTAACATTTCATTATTTATATAAAAATGAATTATTTATTAAGGAACAGATTCAGAAATTCCAAAATACTCAAAAACTAAGAATAAGTCATAAAACTATTATTTTGTTTTTGATCCATCAAACCAGTTGCGCTATTTTGAATTTAATTTGTAAACGCAGCACAGTTTGTGAAACTAGAATATATGTACATAAAATTCACGCAGAAATATTAGTAAGCACCAAGATTCTGCTATGACCGTTCATTGGTTTTCTCTCAATTTAATTTTTTAACAGCCATATACAATATATATAGGTTACGTAAACAGGCGAATTTACAAAATAACAGTTGCGGTAGAAAAAACGGTTTTGAAATCACTTTTTATAGTAAAGTGATATTTAACTTTATTCGTTGTATCTCGAAAACTATTCAAGATATCAAAAAATAATGATTCCACATGTGGAAATGATAGCGTTTTGTCACGGAAAACGATAAAACATTATTTGACCGATATGTGTGACTATACACCTAGTTTTATAACAAAATTAAGTGTCAAGTTCTGATTTTAATATACTGATTTTAATATAGTATACTGCACATAGATTACGTAAACAGATAAATATACAAATTACAAAATATCAGTTGCGGTGGAAAAATAGTTTTGAAATCACTCTTTATAGTAAAGCAATATTTAACTTTTATCAAACATTATAATCTCAAAAACTATTCAAGATATCACAAAATGTTTTATACAAAATTACTACAAAAATTATTTTTATTCATTTACGTTAAAAATTATTTTTTTTTAAATTATTGAAAATAATTGTTAAAAGATACTATTAACGTAAACAAATAAAAATAATTTTACTGTAAAGTTTTTGAATAAAACATTTTTTAATATCTTGAATAGTTTTCGAGATATAACAAAAACAACTGAAAATGTTTTACATATAAGGGATGATTTCATCCTTTCAAACCGTTTTTTAGGTACCAACTAATATTTTTTTAAATTCATCTATTTACGTAATCTATAAGGTCCACAAAATGATATGCCAGCTTCACTCACACTCACAAAAATTAAAACAAATCGATGAATATGTGAAATAAATAATATAAATGTAAAAGATTTTTTAAAATAAAAATATATAACAGGTTTAATCAATGTTAGTTTATTAAAGAATTTTTTTTTCTTATTAAAATTAAAAAGATACGGTATAAATTCTGCAAACTTTTGATTAAAGATATTACTTTTACGATTAGATCTATAAAACGTGATATTTCCGATGTTCTTGACTGAGGTTGTACATTGAAGCTCCCTAGTGCAAGCTCGACTTTGCATCGAATTGGGACTGATACGAAGCACCACCATTTTCCAAATCTCATGGGTCACAAAGACACAAAATTCTCCTCCCACCAAAGAGAATGCGAGTGTGTTAAATATCTAGTGAAATATAACTAGCTTTTGTAATATATAATATAAATAGTATAAGATGAATATGTTTCTATCGTTATTTCATACAAATTTTAAACGGCTTAATATATTACAGATGGCAAAGGATTTATTTTACTTGCACACTCTCTAAAAGTGAATCAGTGGAATCTGATTTTCAGTATATATCATTTTTCAGTGGCATACTTAGAACTGTGATAAACAGTGACTATTTTAATGTCACTTTAGTGATAATATACTGATTTAAACAGTGAATATCACTGAAAGACAGTGAATTTCAGTGATATTCACTGTTTAAATCAGTATATTATCACTAAAACGATTGAAATAATCGCTGTTTATCACAGTATGCCACTGGAAAATGATATACGCTGACAATCAGTGATGATTCCACTGATTCACTTTTAGAGAGCAGGGATATAAAACTTGATAACTTGTCCGATAATAGCATTGTCTTGCATAGACAAATATTAAAACTTTAATTCTACGAACGTTTTTTGTGGAACTATTTTTATTCAAGCTGTCTCAGCAAGAATCATCCATTTATCTGTGAATCTATCTCTCAAGTACATTTTGAACACCCTATGCATGGTGACTTATGATTTTTTAATTCGCAATCTATTGGCCACGACATAAAAATTTGCAATTAGTTAAAGGAAAAATTTGCTTCGCTTAGAAACAAATAAATGATGAACCGTCAAACCGTTTTACATGAAATCCAAGGGGAAATAACAGAGAGTCTCGGATCAAGCTGGTTTAAATTAACGATTAATTTTGCACGGGAAATTTTTGCGAAATTATATTGCGAATGTGAAAACGCGGGTTTGAAAGGATAATGCTATCCGACGACTATACGGCACAAAACACATGGGGAATCGCGGAATCGATAGAGGCGAAATCGCGTCGGCGAGGGTGCAATGCGGCAATCGTTCGCCCCTCCGCTTCTCCACCTCTCTCTGTCTGACTTAATGTATCCCTTTCTCTGCTCCTTTCTCTATCGTACGCATCTCTTTCCTCGCTTCCTTACGCTCGCCTTTCTCTCTTCCGCTATATGTTCAACCTATTGCGCAAAGCTTCGCCTCCGTCTCTCCTTCCCGATCTGCTCACATTTTCTTCTTCGTTTTGTCTACTTTGTCTTCTTTCTCTACAAAATTCAACCTCCAATTCTCACTCCGCGCATTACTATATTTCCCTTTCGTGAAATCCACGAAATCCTTCGTCTTGCTCTTACTTGACGGTCAGGTTCAGTTAGCGTCAAGGATACTTCTTCGTACTACTCTGCGTAAAATCTCATCTTTCTGAATTTTTCACACTTATTTTTATTAGTGATAAAACTCAGCGAAAATTATACAATAAAAACTTTAAAAGCTTTAACTTCAAGCAAAAAACAGTTTGTACATCATCAAATTAGCGCACATTACACTAATAAACCAATCGTTTATACACAAAGTGTTTGCGAGAAAATTTAATTTTAAAAATTAATTTTAAAATTTTGCCAAAATTGCCACTTTCAGAAAAATAAAATTAAATTATAATTGATTAATAATGAATAATTATAAGTAATATTCAAGTTTGATGAGTGTAAATGTCGTATATTAGAAAAAATTCCAGCGCTATATGTGACATATTTTGAGGTGTTTTCTGCCTCTACATATTCATCGAAGTTTGAAGTTCGCATTACATTAATGCGAACTTCGTGGTGAAAACGAATTACTCTTGCTTAACTACGTTTTACGAGCGATGCCTGCACTCACCCAGGATGCTGTTAACGTTCATGTCAAAATTAATAGCAAGTTTGTAATACATTTCGACAGCAATACGATCAAGCGACGTCATAAACGTAACGCACTTGTCAGGTCTTCTGAACGATTATATGCATCTTTCAATCAGCCTGTGTTCTAACAGCACGAAGTGATATCGAATCGTCGACAGATAGTTTGCAAATGCAGCTTAGTTGATTAAGCGTCAACACGATTCTCTATGGGAACGACACGTCGTAGTTACCCATATCGTGTAATTACTGCGCCATCCAATCGACAAGTGATCTAATTCAAAAGGTTCATTGCTTACTAATGGATAAGCAAGATTCTAATGAGCAGCGTGACGTTACATTGATAGCCTGGCAATGCCGAGAATAGTCAGATCTATGTGATAGACTATGCGACAGATTGTGCTAATGAAAAAAAAATCATGAAACAAAGAATACAGTAAAATCTGACTTTTCCGTTGTTGTTGTCGATCTCTTTTTGATAACAATTTATTCAGTCTCTTTCCCCATTTCCTGATCATTTCAGAGATAAATTATTTAGCATCGCGAAAAATTTGTAAAATTCGTTTGGTTAATATTCCATGATCGAAAATTACAATGTAAAAGGTAACGTTAATGATTTAAACTTTATTTATATATAATTATATTGTTAATATTATTAATATACGATAGATATAAAATACGAGAAATTAATGGTATTGAAACTAATACAAAGGTAGTTGGAAATTTTTAGACATAAATTAAAGAGGGATTTTTGTATGAAAGCTACGCCAATCTCTTTTTTAAACAGAAAATAGACGAAACTTCATGGTTATAGAGTGGAAAGTTGCGAATTGAACGGGAAGAAGGAGACAATGTGATTTTAAAGCTACTTTGTATGCACGAAGTGCACGGCGATAAACGGAAATGAGCAAAACACTTAGGAATTATCAGATATTCAACTTGTATTAAAAGGACTCCGAGACATTCTTATATCTTTTTTATAGTGATTACAATGTAAAAGTTGTATTGAGTCTCGCGATTTTCCTTCTCTAATTACTACCTCGTAATATTAACATCTACGCAAAACAACCGTTTGAATAAATAAGCAATATATTCAACATTTTACGACATGAATTATTACAAATATGCAGAATCAAAATTAAATTAATCAATATGTAAAATAATATTCAATATATTGTTAATATTGTTATTTAATTTTTCAGCTTGGATCTATTTTTCTTATTTAGCATACGTCGCATTCAAAAATTGTTATTTTTGTGAAAAAAAAAACGTTATAAAATTATTGTGAAATCGCAGTTGAAAGTAAAAGAATTTAAATTTGATCGCATTCTAAATTTAGTAATAGAGGTTGACATTGAATACTTAATATTTTTCTTATATCATTTCTTATATTATTAAAGGGAGACAGAAAGAAATAGAATTTTATAATTTTTAAAGATATTTTTGAAGATATAACATATTGAAGATCCTCTTAAATTATAAGATAAATTAATAAATTTTTCATATCTATGAACTAAATATATCTATGAATTAAAGATTATGTGCCTGATCCGCGTACAGTTGTAAGAGCTTGAACATCCCTTCCGATCGTTTTTCGAAGGTAGCTGCAAAAGATGACCGCTCGTAAGCTTTTAGTGCATCGAGTACCATCATTGTGTACTATGTATAGCATTTACTGCAACGCGAGCGCGTATTATCTTTGATACGCAGCGTGTCGCCGAGTGCTCCGCGCGGAAAAAGGCTTTAATGCTCGATCGACGTGTTTTCTTGCTGCAAACCGTTGCGCTTATGACGTCGGTCTTCGTGTCGTCCGGCACGGTTCTTCGTCGCAGGCCCGTCATTTGCGCTCGCCCCCGGGGTTGAAACTTTATGTCGTAAAATCGAGCGGTCGAACTTGGTCGCGCCACCAGCCCGCACGAGAGATCGGCGTCGCCGCTCGTATAAAATACCATAATGCTCCGGGTACGTCGAGATCGGAATCAGGTGCAACCAATTTGGCAGGGGTCCAAAAGCCGCGGCATGTAAATCCAGTTTGCAAGGCATCGGCGTTGGCGACACCGATGGAAATCAAACGCCGCCCGCGCGTGGTCAATGGTCAGACATGTATACGAGCATTCCATACGAGCTTGACTTCCTGCGGACACGTTGCAGGTGAAAACTCGAAAAACCCTCTCGGGAAACCGCAATTATTGCAAATGATAACATGAATGTCGAAGTTTCTTCGACGGCGAGACCGTATAAACCTTCATAAATTGTTTATAATATGATTGAGTATCTAAAAATTGATTAACAGCTGTAGTTTATTGTATCGAGTTATTTATACTACTTCAAATTGCTGCAAATTTATTTATATTTAACAATTAAATATGAATCGTGGAATGTTTCAAATAATTAATTGTAAGATGAGAAAACGCCAACACGTTACAAAGCGGATCTTAGTGTTTGATAATGTTTTTATGTGAAACTTACAATTTTAAAAGTTCGAGCAAATTGCTCGCCGCATAATCATCGGTCTTTAAAACGCAGTTCCAAACTGAGTGGTACGTGATATCATAATTAAAGTGCCAAAGCAATTTAATAATTCGATGCTATCTTTTTCTAAATCCTGTGAAAATAATTTATGGCGAACAATATTACCTCAACTGTGATTATGAAGTTAAAGTCCAAAAATTACTTTCTTAAATAAATATGGAAATTAGATTATCGCTGCTATGCGAAATACTTTGCACCGTCAAATCGTTTCTTCTATTTTTGCAAATTATCGTGTAAACGGATTGTCGTGTAACGGGACGTCTAATTTAATCATTTTTTTTCTAAAAGGTTACTGCAATTAACATTTGTAGACAAAAGAAACGCGTTTCTTCATTTTCCACCGCGCGTATTCGTTTCGGATTTCCCTATCGCGGCATTAACAACGGAAGTGCAAGCTGCTCGGCGGTGATAAAGGTAAACGACTGAAGGAAAGTACCGTGGGACCTTATATAGACGAATAGCACGCGATCTCTTTCGCATGGCCACGTGTGCTCGCACGTGAGCACACACAGGCGCAACGTACCACATGGAGAAATATCGCGAATGCGAAAAAATATTCTTACCTGCCCGGGGATTCATGCGAGCTCGGGATTCCTCGGCGAGGGACTGTATCTGATGTAAAGATGTTGCTCACGTATCTCCCTCCCTCCCCCGCCCCTCTCCGACGTCGATGCATTCGAAAAATGTCTCGAAAGATGACACGGCGGCGATCGCCGTCGCCACCGCCGCCGCCGCCGTGCCGCCATTCGCGCTTCGAAGATTTTCGAAGCAACCGAAATCCCCGGAGCATGCGAATTTTCGTCGGTTTCAAGCGATTCGCGGCGCGGCGCGCGGCGCGACGCGACGCGAGTGCCGCCGATGTACCTACCTGCGAGAACGTGATTTTGTCACGTGGAATTTTTCTGAAGCAAATATACGTGTGCGGAAAGTCGGCGGACATCGCCGTACAGGACAGATCGAGCCGAAGGAAACCTCGGCGGAGTATCTACGATTTTCATTCCGCGTCATCTCGGAACAATTAACCCGCAAAGACTACGTCTCTTTTGAACATCCGTAAAGAATACCTGAGTGCGAATTCGCACCAAGCGTTTTTAAAGTTTTATATCCTCTGAAAATAAAAAAACAAAATTAAAGCAAAACGTATGTTTTCCAATATAAAATTTTCTAACCTGTCGATTATTATTACTAAATTTTTGAAAAAAAAAAAAAAACGTAATTGCTTTCAAAACTGCGTGTTAAACAAAACCATTTTTGGAAAAACTAGAAAAAAAACTTTATCAATAAATAACTGCCTGTTTTTAATAAAATGACACAAACCTTATTGGATTTTGTTAATGAAATGTTACATTTTAAGTAAAAAAATAGTTTTAATTGAATTAAATATAAATCAATTTGTTTTGGTAGTAAAAAGTTTGAGTTTTTTCGCATCCAAACGAACTTTCAATGTGTCTCAAGCAATGGCTAAGGCGCAAATGATCCTCCCTACTTCAAACAATAGAGTACAAACATAATTCACGTAGTGAGGAAAGACCACCAAATTTATCTGTTCTTAAATGCTCATCAGTTGAAAATTTTGTGGATGCGAATTCGCACTGAGGTGTCCTTTACGGGTTAATAAAGCATCTGAGAGAACTTACACAATAAAAATCAATACAACGTTTCTTACGAAGGATCAACCACTATAGGAATCAGTGTACATTTTTTTAAGAATATATTTGCGGCAATACAATACTAGCAATACGCTATCAATACATAGCAATACCTCGAGCAATATACATTAGCAATACTTGACAATATTGTGTAATAGGTAGCAGTACACGAGGTAATTGATGGCAGTACATGAGATAATAGATGGCAATATTACTGACAGTACAAAAGCGATACTACGAGTAGCGATAAAATGTATCGTATTGCCATAATTGGCAATCACTGTACATTTTTTTAGTAGTAGTGGTTGACCCCTCGGTCTCTTAGAAAGCGAATAAAAGTCTTTTCTTGTCAGATTGAAAACAAAGAAGCAGTTTCTTCAACGATCTATTCATTAGACGTAATAAAATTAATTATTTAGTATTAAAAAGTAATAATTAAAATAAAATATTGACCTACATATTTTTGATATTAACTAAATTATGTTAAGGGATTAGGTTGTAAAATTAAGTATTACAAAAATGGGAGAATGACAGTATAAGTTACTGCAAGGCTGCAAGTTACTGTGAAGGCCGACGATAAATCTGAGAAACGTATTGGACATGTCTGAAAGTATATTTCCGTTTATATCGCAATGGTCCAAAATTTCGTTTTGATGGAATTGTTTTCACGCGTCCGACACTCGTAATATACGTCACAAGAGCTCGTGTCGCTCTTTTAACTCCGACGTCTATTCAGTCGGAATGCGAGAGCGTCGTTTCGATGTTTCGAAAGCATGTCAATCGGATGTTTACGAGCAATTGCCGCGCGATTTATTTCGTATCAGTGATAAATTCGAAGGCACGCTTTTTCTCTTCAACTTGCGGTGTTTAACGTTTGGATGGCTGATAGAGGCGCGGCGGCCGCGGCGTAATCGCCAAGAACAGATTTATGCGTGATTTTATGGGGAAACAGCGGAGAAAAATCTCGGCGTTTTAATTACACCGCGATTGCGCGAGGTAGCTCCGAAGAGATACAGGAGATCCGTTTCATTCATGCAATTGGCGGCTTACATGTATCAAACACGGTCATATGTTTCATTTCGACGCTAAAATTACGCAGGCTAATGGATTCATTTGACAAGCGCTTTTTGCGGTGCGTGTATATAATGAATATTACCCTTCAAATATTTTACGGCTTACGAATTACGTTGCGAGCTTTTCAAATCGTATATATATACGAAGAGATTGAATTGCGATATGTCGCTGTGAGTAGCAATTTGCTACATAGGTAGCAATGGCCATTTGTGACGGCCAAATTTTACATGCAATAATTCAGTTTTTGTGTTGAAAATATGTGCATATAAATCAATTTAACTAATTGTTCTTCAAATGCATTTTCTTACCGTTCAAAATTTTGGTTTTGATGTCATTTTAATAATGCGCACGCTACTCTTCGAATTATTGTTAGTATTGAATTATTATATTATTATTATAGATTGATAATGCCAGTAAATCCAAAGAGAACTATTTGACACGATTATGTAGAATATATTTACAATGCATTTGTACATTTGACATTAAATACCTCAAAACATCAAATATCAAACTGACGTGTCGGTTACCGAAAATAGCCGCGAAGTAAACGCATAATAATAGCGACGTTTAACCGAAATTGCTGATGTCTACCTTACGTGTCTCGAAAATTGCAAGATTAGGATGGGTTTTGAGAGGCTAATAATAATAATGAGTTCTCCGGTGCTTCCGGGCTATAAAGGAGAATAGTTTGGCTCAACATAAGACCGCAAGATAAGCTAGACTTATGATTTAAATGGAGAACTTCATCAGATTACAGCTTCATCCATTGTGACGCAATTGTGAACTTTCGAAATTAGCACTGATATAAATAAATTATTAGCTTCCAATTTTTTTTACAGAAATTTAAATCGCGCACGCTTATATTATAGAATTAATACAAAGTTACTGACAATAGCTCAGTTACTTCTATCAATTATGCTTGAAAATTAGATTTTATTATGGACTCATATGTATATTAAATTATTAGCGTGACGAACATCTATTATAATAATAATTATTGGACGAAAATCTATTATAATAATTATTATTAGTATATAATGCGCATAGCGTTACAGGTAAATCAAATATTTCTACAATAGTTCTCTATTGATACAATTAGACGAAGAAAGATCGATACCGTTATATCACTTTGTTTTTAGATTATATTTCTTAAAAGTTAAATTAAAACATAAAACTTTGAAAATATTAATACAAACTAGAAAGTCTTCTAATGGAAAATATAAGGTTTTTGGAATATGTAACATTTTCGTAGATAAGCAAAAATAAGTGTTCCTTAAAATGAGTCCCAGCAAAATTACAAACATATAAATAAAATTACAAAAATATAAATAAAAGTGTTTTATAAAACAACAAATATATAAAAAACAATTTATTTTAAAAATAATATATTCAATATTATTTAACGACAAAATGTGCAAAAAATTGTAAGTGTTATTTTCGCATTTGTAAAATTTGTTTTTAGATGCTTTTATATAGAAACTTGTATACGAATTATAGGTTTTTATCTCTTTGATTATTTAAATAGATTACGTTTTTATTATAGTAGTTTTTGTCAGACAACAGACGAGCGTTACGCGCGCGTTATTTAGCGTTTTTAAGATTATATAATTTTATGTAAAAATAATATATACAAGTACTCAAGTGTACAAATTAATTAAAAAAAATTTTGGTGCCATAGTTAATCATGGTTTGTTAAAACTGTGTTTGCTGCTGTAAATTAATACACTATAGCAAAATAGCTTGTTGTAGTTCCTAATACGTAAATAAAGTAGCAAAACATGCATGTCTGTTAGGATCACATCGTATTAGCGACATAAAAATAATTATCAGAACTAATCTATGTCACAGATATACGTTCGATTTGTTATGTCGCGAGCAACGCTGACGCAAGTGCAGCAGAAAACTAATATTACATATCTTTCTAGTCTGTTAGATTGCGAGTAGCCGGAAGCAAGTTCGTACAGTGTTATACGTTTGTGATTGTGCTAATCCTTATCAAACTCAATATTTTGGAAAAGTGTCCATATTGTGTTATACGTGTTTGTGGCTATCCTGGACTCGGTATGTCGGAAAAAATCATGTGTGATTTCATAACTATTACTGTGGGCTTTTAATATTTGTTTAGGCGCGAAAACTCGTTATCAGAGGCTGCAGAGGAATATATGTATAATATATGGAAAGAATAAGTTCTTTGTACAAAGCATATCATTAGCACAGCGTTAGCGTACAAGTCTGCTATTTTAGGGATCTCAGGTTCGAATCTCATAGATGCGTTTTCAAAAATTATAAACCTGCGTAATTGTAATTAATAAAACAGAAAATATACGAAATAAAGTAAACACAAATTAAACTTTAAAAATAATAATATGTAATCATATAATAAAATAAAATAAAAGAAAAAGTTTTTTTTACTGCATTTCGGCTGTCAGTGTAGCTATCTTAAACACACTTTTAGCTACTGGGTATACTTTAGATATAGCATTAGCTTTACCTACTAGCGTAGCAAAGGTATTTGCAACGACAGTAAAAGTTGTGTCTTCTATATATATAAATGGTATGCATACTACAACGAATTGTTGCAATACATATGTTGC